AAATGCATCAGAATAATGTGAGCAATGTATCAATGCAGTATATAGTGTGTGAATGCCGAAGGCAGTATATCAGTGCAGAATGCAATGCAGTGTACAGTGTGTGAATGCTGTGAGCAGTTTATCAGTGCAGAATGCAGTGTGTGAGTACAGTGTATGAATGCGTGAGCAGTCTATCAGTGCAGAGTACAGTACAGAATGCAGTGTATGCAGTGTATCAGATACTGTGAGATCAGTGCGTCAGGTGTTTGTGCTGTCATCAGATTAGTGAAGCAGTGTATTGTAACAGCGCCCGCGTGGGCCTCGTGCTACAGTTCGGACTCGATTTTGTGTCACGGTTCTAAATCTGAACCAAAGAGTCCAAATCTGGCAAATCGTTTTGAGAAACAGATTTTTGAAAAAGTAGTGCCAAACATGGACTGCTTTGCCAGATACAGAGTCGCCACCTAATATTTTAAAATGGGGAATTTAGGAAACCCTGACTCGGTGCGAAGGCCACATGTCCGTCATCACCGGAGTTGTCTCGGCTCGGGAGCTTAGGTACGATCGGGGAAGGTCAGCTATGAGCACCCCCTTTCGCCCGGTCCGAAGACCGGCCTACTAACCGTGATATCCGTTTTTGAAAACTTTATGTGTTCTTAAACCAATTGTTAGCCTAGAATTACTATGTTATGCGCGCAGCAAACAAGTATAGACTAGATTGCCTAATTTGGAAAATAAACATTGCATATCCGTTCGGTTTGAAAAATGCTTTGGAATTTGCTACTCGCAAGTAGGCTAAAATGCGGATTTCAACGAGTCTTTCCAACTCAACAATCAACCTTCACCCACAGGCATTCAAAACAGTTTAACACATAAGCATCTAGCCACATGTTAAGCATGCTGTCATGGCAACATTCACACTCATGCGATATGCTAAAGCGGAAATACTTACATAGTACTCCATGCCAAAACAAAGAACTTGTTAGCAAACATGCATGATCCAAGTCCATGTTAAAAATGGCTATGCAAATCAGCTGGAACATGCAAAGATGCAATCTAAACAGGTCGGCTACCCTAAAAATGGCATTGAAATGCGGTCAACTATCACGTATTCAATTTTTGAAACTGAAGTACAAATGCAGTTAGCGTTATGTACCGAGCCTAATGCATGCATACAAATGCATGGATGCACACATGCATAGCATAAGGTATGCTAAATTAAACGTGCCCTAATCTACCATCATAAGCAGGTAAATAAAAGGAAAGAAAGACGTGAGGTTGGAAGACATACACACACTCAACGCACACTTATTACAGAATTGCCCTCGCTCGGAGGGACCAAATAAATATTACAAATTAATTAACATACGCAAGCTAATTAATATTCAAATTAACTAATTTAATTAACAAATTAAATAAATTAATTAAAGCAGGAAAACCGCCTCGGGAAGCGTGCCACCATGCGCAAGCTGCCTCTGCTTTCCTTCTTTTTCCTCTCTGGAGGCTGTCAAAACCTCAGGGTGATCCTGGACAGAGAGGATCACGCACCCGATTGATTTGAAATTTCACACGGCAGTGTAGTATGGCCATCGCACAAATAGGGTTTGTCGCAGAGAAAATGGTGTCGGTCGACACATTACACTGCCGGTCGGCAGAGTTATTCCTGCAGAACCTGCAACTCACAGCAACAGAGGGCAAAACAAGGCATGCAGCACATTCAAGGCATGTTTATGCACCAACCATGTCTCTTATCATTGTAATGACTCAAAGGGACATGTTGCCTCGGTTTCTCGGACCACCAATCACGCATTTCCATGCATGATGGTCCAAGGAACCAAGCATGCAACTTTGGTTTAAAATGCATGCAAACCAACAAACAACTTAGGCCCTATTCCTATCACCAATTCAAGGGACGAGGCATGTATGCATGATTGCAAATGCAACCTAAGGCATACAGCTAAGGATCGCAACATGGTCACTGGCAAAACACTTATGCAATCATGCAAGCATACATATGGCAATGCAAATGGAATTGGCAAATGATGGGCTTATACATGGATTAGGCAGCTCCTAATAAGGCCTAAAACAGTGGCATATGACCAAACAACAAGAAGCCCAAACACAATGCACAATATACAACATGATGGAAGGCCTACACTGGGCACAAATCAAAGCACAATCAAGCACACTTGAAAGGGTGAACAAGAAGCCAATTAGCAATACATTATAAGCTCTAAATCATGCTAATACATGGTGCAACGAACAAGAATCAAGGCCTAAACAATGCACCCAAATGGCCTAAAGTGTTTCGAAGCAATCAAAGAGTCCTTTAGCCTTGTTTAAATGTGCTATAAACTTGTTTTTGTCGCTTATGCATGCCTTGCTTGGTCTTGTTAAAGTGTAGCTCATGCCTCATTGATTTGCTTCGAACACTTAGGCATTTGCGGTGCATGTTTGGCTTGATTTCTTGTTCGATTGGCCACCATGTATTAGCATTGATTTTAGAGCTATATAATGTATCGCTAATTGCTCTTGTTCATCCCTTTCAAGTGTGCTTGATTGTTGCTTGATTTGTGCGCCAAGGTGTAAGGCCTTCCAATGTATATATGTTGCATGTGTTTTTGGTTTCTGTTTTGGTACATTATGGCCACTGTTTTAGGCGCTTATTAGAGCTGCTAATCCATGTAATAAGGTCCATCTTGCGCATCCATTTGCATTGCCATAATGTATGCTTGCATGATTGCATAAGTGTTTGCCATGCATTTTGCATCTTAGCTGTATGCTAGGTTGCATTGCATCTTGCAATACATGCCTGTCCTTAATTGGTGAATAGGAAATAGGGCCTAAGTTGTTTGTTGGATTTGCATGCATTTGAAACGCAAAGTTGCATGCTTGGTTTCCTTGGCCTCATGCATGGAAATGCGTGATTGGTGGTCCGAGAAACGCGAGGCTACATGTCCCTTTGAGTCATTAAAAATGCATAAGAGACATGGTTGGTGGCAATAACATGCCTTGAATTGTGCTGCCATGCCTTGTTTTGCCCTCTGTTGCTGTGAGTTTGCAGGTTCTGTCAGGAATACTCTGCGACCGGCAAGTGTAATGTGCCGACCGACACCATTTTCTTCTGCGACAACCCTATTTTTGTTCGCGATGGCGCATACTACAACTGCCGGTGGAATTTCAATCAGTCCGGTGGTGATCTCTCTCTGTCCAAGGGATCAGCACTGAGGTTTTGACAGCCTCAGAGAGGAAAGGGAAGGAAAGCAGAGGCACTTGCGCGATGGTGGCACGCTTCCCCGAGCGTTTTCCTGCTTAATTATTTTATTTAATTTTGGTAATTAAATTGTTAATTTGGTAATATTAATTAGCTTGCGTATGTAATTAATTTTGTAATATTTATTTGGTCGCCTCGAGCGAGGGCATTCTGTATAAGTGTGGTGAGTGTGTGTATGTCTTCCAACTCACGTCTTTCTTTCCTTTTATTTACCTGTTATGATGGTAGATTAGGGCACGTCTTTAATTTAGCAACCTTATGCTAATGCATTGTTGCATCCATGCATTTGTATGCATGGCATTGGCTCGGTACTAACGCTAACTGGCATTTGTTACTTCAGTTCAAAAATTGAATACGTGATAGTTGACCGCATTTCATATGCCATTTTAGGGTTATGCCGAGCCTGTTTTAGATGCATCTTTGCACGGTGCATAGCCATTTTTAACATGGACCTTGGATCATGCATGTTTGCTAACAAGTTCTTTGTTTTGGCATGGAGTAGCTATGTAGTAATTTCCGCTTTAGCATATGCGCAGTGAGTGTGAATGTTGCCATGAACAGCATGCTTAAGCATGTGGCTAGATGCTTATGTGTTAAACTGTTTTTTGAATGCCTGTGGGTGAGGTTTGGATTGTTTGAGTTGGAAAGACTGCGTTGAAATCGCATTTTAGCCTACTTGCGAGTAGGCAATTCCAACAGCATTTTTCAAACCGAACGGATATGCAATGTTTATTTCAATTAGGCAATTATCATACTTGTTTTGCTGCGCCGATAACATAGTAATTCTAGGCTAACAATTGGTTTAAGAACATAAAGTTTTCAAAAAAACGGATATCACGGTTAGTAGAAGCCCGGTCTCTCGACCGGGCGAAAGGGGTGTCATAGCTTGACCTCCCCGATGCGTACCTAAGCTCCCGAGCCGAGACAACTCCGGTGCATGACGGACATGTGGCCCTTCGCACCAGGTCAGGGTTTCCTAAATTCCCGCCATTTTCCTACTTTTTTTTTTCTTTTTTTTTCTCTTTTTCTCTCTCTCTCTCAGGCAAAGTGCTCCTTTCGCTTTAAGAAAGAAAATAATTTGTCTTGTTTCTGTCAACATACTACTTTTCCTATCTCATTTTGTACAAATCTATCTCTTCACAATTAAGTAATCTTATTTTTTTGTCTCTCTCTCTCACAGGCAAAGTGCTCCTTTTGCTTTAAGAAAGAAAATAATTTGTTTTGTTTCCATCAACATGCTGCTTTTCCTATCTCATTTTGTACAAATCTCTTTCTTCACAATTAAGTAATCTTACTCTTTTTTTTTCTCTTTCTCTCTCTCTCTGGCAGAGTGCTGCTTTTGCTTTAAGAAAGAAAATAATTTGTCCTGTTTCTATCCCGTTTAATTGTTCTGATTGGAATAAGAATTTGGTCTATTTTGGTAATTTTGCCTTTTTTTTTTAATTTTTTAAACTTTTTAAAGTTACATCACCTCATTTTTTTACATATATATATTTTTAAAAATAAAAAAATCAGCTTTTAACTTATTTCTCAAAACAACCTTATATATATATACTAGTGGTTAGCCCGTGCGATGCACGACATTTTAGAAAGTTAATAATTACTTAAAAAAAATGATAAACTAATAAATCTCAAATTAATAACTTATATACTATTTAATCCCAAATGTTATTTTATAAATTGAACAGTCCCATTGTAAGGGAATTTACCATTGAGGGCATATACATTGTGTTCGTGAGTGGTAAGACTAATGGACAAACTTGGTAATTTGATAATGTGAAATTACGAAAATAGGGCAGCAGTCGTCATCAATATCATCAACATTATCAACATCGGTGCTATGATCAACATCATCAACCTCAGCGCCATGATTGACATCATCAACATCAACATCAGCGACATCAACGCCATGATCAACATCGTCAACATCTGCAACGTTTGTTGGGAAAAGGCCGATCCATCATTAACATCAGTGCTAGACATTAGGGCCATGATCAACATCATCAACATCAGCGACATCCACCACCACCACCGTATCCACCCTCACCACGATCACCACCACCGCAGAACCCGCGGCCTCCGCCACCACCGCTTCCGCGGGACTGGGCCTCGTTGACGGTGATGTTGCGCCCGTCAAGATCCTCACCGTACATTCCCTCGATAGCGTCCCTCATCGACTGCTCATCCTTGAACGTCACGAACCCGAACCCCCTGGATCTGCCAGTCTCACGGTCGTTGATGACACACCGATCCAGTTCCACCGCCATTGGTGATGTAATTAATGTTGTTGGTGATGTTTTTATGATGTTGCAGATTTTTAGGAAACAAACATTCCACAAAAGGGTAACTATTGTAACCTCCAAAATAATGAAAATTAAATAAACAACATTACCAAAATAAAATTGGACTAAATGGTGCATAAGAAAACTTTTAGGACTAAATAGTTCAACTTTTCAGAAAATAGGATTTATGGGTAAATTTTCCAAAAAATAAAAAAATTGCTATTTGTTTATATTTCTTAATATTTTTATTTGGTTTGTGTATATAAATCTTACTTCACATCATTAAAAATATTTAATATTTCACATTATTGAAAATTTTAAAAAACTATCATACATTAGTAAATCATCACATATATAATAGCTAATTTATCTAAGAATTACTTCAGACAACCAAAAGTAGATTAACAAAGGCATATTATAATTAATCAAATTGACTAATATATTAAATAAAAGTAACATTAATTTTGCTTAATCAATAGTAGATATTACATTAATCATCTCATATAATATAATAAATTAAAATAAAATTAATTTTAATTCCCATTATATTCAATTAGTGGTTAAAATTTTTTTACATGCTATTTGTTTTTTCGCTATATTGATTCATTAAACACAAATAGGTTTGGAATGATTATAAAAAAATAAAAAATAAAAATGTTTGAAAATGCGTTAAACTTGAATTGACAAACTTAAAGAATATAAATATTTAAATTATTCAAAAAAAATTAATATTTTAAATATGAGATATCATCCATTTGCTCATACTCTGAATCCAAATAAATAAATAAATAAAATTTTAAAAAGAAGAAATTTGTGGTTTAGTTCTCAAAGGAAATAAGTTACTAAAAATAATTTAATCATGAATTACTTCAACAGGATAATCAATAATAAAAAATCAACTGATGAATACATTTAAAGTATAACTCATATCCAATAAATTTTGATATGTTCTTCATTTTCAATCTAACATCTACACCCAAAAAAAAAATTTAAACACAAATAATCAATAAGAGAGAGAGAGTTACAAATTGATAATAGCAGTGCTTTTATAAATATAAAAAAAAAGAATAAAATCTCAATTAAATGACACATTATTAACAGAAAGAAAGAAATAAGGAAAAATACAGATTGTAACAAAAAAAAATATCCATTGATATGAACTTACCTTCTTACAAATGCAAAAACTCATGCAAGTACATTTCAAATGTAAAAGCAAATATTTAAGATTTTTAGGCACCGAAAAGGGATCAGAAATGGCTCAATGTTGATTGTTTTCCCCCCTAATTTTCTGTTCATGGTTTATTTTGCATGAACTTATTTTTATATTGAAAAGATTATGCTTAAACAAAATATATATATGGAATTATATCATGTTTAAAATTTGTATGGATAAGTAATTAATGATTTTAAAAGATAAAATATCAAGTTCTACTTAAAGATAAACTTTAAAAAGATTAAGTTGAAATATATAGAAATTCTATAACAAACTAACAAAAGATAAATATAGATCGTTAAAAAATTATCATCTTTTTGGGATATTTATATCCCAATCTTTTTTTTTTATTTAAATATTTTGTTATCTATTATTTGAATTTTCAATAAATAGCTATATTTTTATTTTTGTATATTTTTTCATGTATATTTATTTGTTATTCACGTATACATAATTACCTTCTTATTTTAAAAATCATTTGACTCGTTATATATTTTTTTTATTTAATTTTTTTTTAATTGTTCATATATAATCTTAGAAATTAGGCGTCCATGTGGCATGACCCTTTCAACTTTTTGAATCTTATCCATGTAAGTTTGAATTTGAATTCAAACTTTCTTAGATAACCACCCAGGATATTCATATCAATCATATCAATTGATATGGATAGATGAGATATTATCCTATAGCGACCCCGGTCTTTTCTCTTTAGATTATTGTATTCGGACTTAGGTTCTTCGTTTTCTCTTATAAATGAATGTTAATGTTATGGTTATTATGGGTTTATTTTGAGGGCGTGACAATCCTATATATCTGATATGATATGGGATATGGGTGATGAAGAGAAAAACAACGTATGTTGTATGTTTTTCCTATATACTGACTCTCTCAAAAAAATACAACGATCAAGAGCTATTTTGCACTGTGACTTGTGTAGCTGATATTCATTCTGTAATATCACTCCATTGCTGGGTTGATTGATCAGATTTAAGAAGCACGTGATTTACCCACGAGATCCTTCAATTCAGACTCTGCAGAAAAAAAAGGTATGACCATAATTTTTCATTTGCTGCGTTTATACTTTGATTTACATATAAATAGTTAACTTTTTATTTTTATAATTAATTGACTCGCAATATTTTGTATTTAGTTATTTTTTTCATCTTTTATTTGACTCTTTATATTGTTTTTGTAGTTGAAATTTGAATAGTTATCATTTTATTTTATTTATTTTATATTTTTACCTCTACGTCTTTGTTGTTTATATTTAAATATTTATCATTTTATTTAAATATATATAATCCTTTTTGGTTTTTGAGATTTAGATAATTGACAAATGATTAGAAATTAGGAAAAGTGAGAGGGCAGACTTGAGAAGTGACACGTAGGAGAGAGAATCCATAAGAATTTAGTATTAAGAGTTTGGAGATTTTTTTTAATTGTTCATATATAAATAGTTAACTTTTTATTTTTATAATTAATTGACTCGTAATATTTTTTATATAGTTAGTAAATCAATTATTTAATCTTTATCTTTATTTGTAGACCATGAAATTATTTTTTTATAAATTTTTATATGTTTATCTATGGGGAGAAATTTTAAAATTCAAATATTTCTATGGGTGGATATGGATGAATATAGATGTGGGAGTTGTGGGTGATGGATATAGATGAATATGGATACAAAATGAATATTTTATTATTTTATTTTAATTTTATATTTTATTATAGGGAGAGGAAGTGAAAAGGCCTGAATAGTAGGAAGAGAAGTAAAGGGCGGTGCCACATATTTTTTTATTTTTCTAAAATTATGAGAATTTAGGAATAGATTTTTGGAGCTTTTGAGAAAACACTACATTTGGTTATATATATAGTATAGATAGTACAGATAGATTTTCGTAAACTTTTGGGTAAGTTTAAGTTTGGAAAATATATATATATATATACTCCACTACATTTGTTTATATATATATAGTACAGATAGATATTCTTAAACTTTTGGGTAAGTTTAAGTTTGGAAATGGGTAATTTTAAATTTGGAGAATATATATATATATACAATCTTGCTACAGACCTCTAATTAGAGGTCATTCCGTACAGCTCTAATGAGCTGTCCGGGAATAAAAAGTGATATGGTAGAGATGTGATGTGACTTAAATAAGATAGTGACTTTTTGACTTTTTTAGGGGATGCAAAACCTGTCTTAATATAAATACACTTAAAAGTAATATTTGTAAAAAAATATTTAAAAACTTTATTAAATACCAAAAATATTTTTCTTAAAATATTTTACTTTTTAATATATCTAAATAAGGTGCATTTAAAAAAATAAAAAAATAACTTAAAATTTTAAAAATATTCACTAAAAATAAAAAAAAATACGAAAAACAAAAACTCAATTTTTAAAAATTGAATCCATAAAACTTTTGACATAATTACATTAATATTTTTTAAAGTTTTAACTTACATAATAATTATAGATTTTTCATCAATAATTCCTTAGTCGTATAAAAAAATAATAATATTATCATCTCTTATCTACTAATATGTATATTTATCTTTGTTTATTTCAATGTTTACCTACTATCCACACTAGTTTCAGTCAATTTAGTCTTATTAAAGGGAGGTTGGTGTAATCTATCTATCTATATATTATATAAGGAAAATAGAGTTTCTAACTCACAAGCCTTGTGGGAGCTCTAATACCTCAATCTTAATTTCCTAATTTTTTTATTTAAAAACAAAAAACTCAACACTTATTGATTTCTCCCATACACACCCTTTTCAACTTCTCCCATATTTATTTAATTATTTTGGAAATAATAATTATCCCTTAATTTATGGATTTCAAATGGAAAGATAACAAAAATATTTAATAATCTCTCCATTGTAATTTCTTTCATCTATTTTCAAAAGAAAATATTAAAACTTGCTTTCCTTTTCTCTCCCTAAAAAATCAGATAATATTTTTCATGAGAATTATGGATATCTATCTATATCTTATATATTATATTATAACATAACCCCAAAAATAAAAATAAAAATCAGATATACAAACAGATAAAATTAATAAATATGACTTTTATTTATTCAATTGAAATCTTTCTTTTGCCTTTTAATATCCAATTTTAATTTTTTAAAAATCTTTAAAGTCTATCAAAAACAAATCTAATTTGAAAATATCTCGCACCATCATACTTTAAATCAATAAAACTCGCATGCCTATCACATATTTAACTCACATCATAACTTACCTAAATAATAATAATTGAAAATAAATTGAAACCATAGATAAATTAAATTTAAAAAAATAGAAATCCACAACTCCATCTTAAATAAATAAATAAATAAAATATAAACCACACAAAAATAAATAAGATAAGAATTTAGATGTAGATCTCAAAAAGATATGATAATATCTAAATTTGAATTATGATTTAATAATATAATTATCTATTTTTTTGATGTATATCTATCAAAGTTTTAAATCACTTTATGAGACAAATTAATCAATTTTTAAGTCTTATTTAAAGAATAATCTGATTAGTCATCCAAACTCTTAGACTTCGTGAACACTGGCGGAGGAGCTGATAGATTAGGTAGGGTGAGGACTAAGTTGTTGGAGAGTAATATCCTACCACTCCATAAATTTATTTGTTTTTTAATTTTATTTTTTTCCCTGTGTGATTCTCTTTCTTTGTTGTTGGTTTGGTTTTGGCTTCAATTTTAGTGAAATTTATGTGTTTGTTTACAGGTTTACATGGTGGTGGAG